CGCTTCATTCTTCCCCTCCCGCTACCTTCTTCTTCTTCTTTTTTTTTTTCCTAACATATATTGCATTATTTGTTTCAGAGGTACAGATCTGAGATTCAATAGTCTTGCACAATTCACAGCGCTTACCAGAGCACATACCCTCCCCAGTGTCTATCGCCCAGTCACCCCATCCCTCCCACCCCACCCCCCACTCCAGCAACCCTCAGTTTGTTTCCTGCAATTAAGAATTCCTCATATCAGTGAGATCATATGATACATGTCTTTCTCTGTTTGACTTATTTCACTCAACATAATACCCTCCAGTTCCATCCACGTCGTTGCAAATAATGCCGACTACTCTTGAAGTCAGCCATTTATTTGATCACTTCCTAAATGTAACATTGACCGTTTTGTATCTGACTTCCTTTTTTTAAGACCATAAAGACCATAAAGTTACTCTCTCTATAGGAGTATTGTATCCTAGAACTTTACTTACAGTTACGGTTCCCATATGATTCTATTAGCTCAATCTTCCAAGATCATTTTTTTATTTCTAAAGTGGAAGTAACATCATTCCTGCCCTGGAATTTCTTGGCAGGACACCTGACTTGCATTAAGAACTTGACAAGGGCCAAGAGCATAATTTATTGTAATTTTTAAACCATGAAGTAATGTGTAAATGATTTTTTTCATAATAGAACTATTGGCAAAAGAATTTTTGCATTTAACAATTTCTGTCTCCAGAGTTTCTGTAATTGAATCTCTTTATCTAGAGCATAAATGGAGTCAGAACTAATTTTTATTAAGTGTCCATTTTGATAATGAGGGAATGCATTATGGCATTTCCCACATCCTTTTATTTATTTATTTAAAGATTTTATTTATTTATTTGACAGAGAAAGACAGTGAGAGAGGGAACACAAGCAGGGGGAGTGGGAGAAGGAGAAGCAGGCTTCCCGCCGAGCAGGGAGCCCGATGCGGGCCTCGGTCCCAGAACCCTGGGATCATGACCCGAGCCGAAGGCAGACGCTTAACGACTAAGCCACCCAGGGGCCCCTCGCACATCCTTTTAAATGTCTCAAATTATACAGCAATAGTATATGTGCTTTTTTTTTTAAGCAATCAACTTTAGAATCATGTTTCTTTTGAGTCCTAAAAGATTTTCGTTCAGTCTTTTGTTTTTGTTTTTCCTCTTCCCTATTAATGATCACGCTCTTGAAAGCTGATTCATGATGGCTGCTTTCTGAGCTGTCTAGGTTTACTAACTTACAGTTTCTCAAGCTGCAGCACCAACAACCTTATTCTGCCACCCCTGAGTGGACCTGTGCTACGCCCCCCTGTCGCTTAGCCATCAAGAGTGCAGCCTTGTGCTCAGAGAGATCACAGTCCTTCATGTTGCAAATGATGCCTTTCAAATACACAGGAAGCATTGCCTCTGTGTTGGTCTCTAGATGCTCCCCAGATGTTTCATTGGTTACTTTTGACCTTCCTGTAGGGGATAACGGTTCTCAACCTTGGCTGCAAATTGGATTCATCTGGAGAGCTGCATAAAACACTTATGCCTGGGTCCCACCCCACAGATTCTGATGTAATATGTCTTGGGTGTGGCCTGAACATTGGGATTTTTTAAAGCTTCTTAAGTGATTACAATGTGCAGTCAGGATTGAAAACCACCACATTAAGGGCTCTTCTGTATCCTAGAGCTTTTAAGATCAAGTTTATTTGTTTACTTTGTGACATAGATCTTAGATCCTTGGGTAAAAGATTCATAAACATGCAAACAGACCTCTGGACGTATCATTGGTTGGTAGCCAATTTTATTAAAATCCATTCTTAACACCCCAACACAGTTCCCCATGTCTTTAGTATTCACCTCTCTGCAGATAATATCAGTAACAGCTAACACTTATTCAAGGGCACCTCACAAAGCACCCTACTACACTAACTCATTTAATGCACAGGTGTGGCCCTCATCTCTCGCCGGAACTCCAGGACTGTGTGTTCAGGTGCCAATGGCGGATATCCACCTGAACAGCTCTTGTCTCCAGCACAATCTGCATAAAGCTTCACACGCTCCTGTCCACCAGCGTTTCCCACACTGCTTGAAGTGTCAGATAGACCTGGCTCAAATCCCAAAGCTACCATTCACTGGCATCTGACTTCAGTTTCCTTAGTTACGAAGTGGCGATGTTGCTGGTGATAATAATGCCTGCTTCGTGAACGTGTGAGGATTTCCCGAGATCCTCCCTGGAGAGTGCGTGGTTCCGTATGCATAGCAGGCGCTTCACAGAGGACAGTTACGGTTACTGTCTAAAAGCTTGATGTTACAATTAGAGCTGCCTGTGTCTCTTCCTTACTTATTATCTGTAGGCAATTCTTATTTCACACTGTACATGTTAGGGCTGCAAGGACTCCTGCCCAGGTCCCCTCCCTCAAGACGCTTCCCCTCCTACCCACCCTGAATCCGCCCAACACACTCTGAAAACCCTTGCTTTAAAAAAACACCATGTGTTTGTTACTCCCTAGCTCAGGAACCTCCAAAGTCTTCCCACTGTTCACTGCACTATGCCCAAACTCCTCAGCTAGGTTTTTGAAAAATTCCTCACATAATTTGGTTCCAACCATCTGATTAAATTTCCCAGTGACTCCCCAGCACTGCCCTGTGCTCTAGGTTAGTCTCCTTGGTGCCTTCCAAACACGCATGCAGTGCTTCTCCCAGCTCTTGCTGCCCTGGCCCAGCACAGAATATAGATTCTCCTCTGTTTACAAGGCCTGGCCCCAATAAAGCCTTCTCCTGATGGCCTTTCCATCTTGATCTCTACTTTCCTCACTTGCCATTACTTTTCTGGAACGCTGATCCCAAATGCAAAGACCGAGGGGGGCCAGGCAGTCAGTATCATTGAGTGGTTGTGGCACATGCTTCATTTAATGGATCAGCTGCCCCACTGTGGCCCCAAGGAAGATGCAAGCCAGTTGTTGTAAGAATTCTCAAGGAATTTTCAAAAGAAAATCTGTTTTGGTTGGGTTTTTTTTTTTTTTTTGGATTTTTTTAAATTTTATTTTATTATATTATGTTAATCACCATACATTACATCATTAGTTTTTGATGTAGTGTTCCATGATTCATTGTTTGTGCATAACACCCAGTGCTCCATGCAGTACATACCCTCTTTAATACCCATCACCAGGCTAACCCATCCCCCCTAGAACCCTCAGTTTGTTTCTCAGAGTCCATAGTCTCATGGTTCATCTCCCCCTCCAATTTCCCCCCCTTCATTTCTCCCTTCCTGCTATATTCTTTTTTTTTTTTTTTTTTTTTTTTAACATATAATGTATTATTTGTTTCAGAGGTACAGGTCTGTGATTCAACAGTCTTTCACAATTCACAGTGCTCACATAGCACATACCCTCCCCAATGTCTATCACCCAGCCACCCCATCCCTCCCACCCCCCACCACTCCAGCAACCCTCAGTTTGTTTCCTGAGATTAAGAATTCCTCATATCAGTGAGGTCATATGATACATGTCTTTCTTTGATTGACTTATTTTGCTAAGCATAATACCCTCCAGTTCCATCCAGGTCGTTGCAAATGGCTGTTTATAGCAGCAATGTCCACAATAGCCAAACTGTGGAAAGAGCCAAGATGTCCATCGACAGGGATGAATGGAGAAAGAAGATGTGGTATATATATATACAATGGAATATTATGCAGCCATCAAAGGGAATGAAAATCTGTTTTGTTTTGTTTTTTACTTGAAATCTCCTAATTTTTAAATGTTGGAAGTTAATTTAAAATCTTTAAAAACAATTATATGCCAAGCAAAATAGGTCATTAGGGCTGGGTACAGCCCCAAGGCTATATAGTTTTGTCCCCTATGCTTTATAGTTTGTTCACCACCTGGTTTAGGACTTAATTATTATCTAATTGTTTGATGTTTTATTTCTGTCTTCCTAACCAACATATCTACTTCAGCAGTCCCACCTTACTCATTTTGGGCATATTTGCTGAACCTAACAGTGTTAGCAATGAATAATAATCACTTAGTTGACTCATTAAAGAAATATTTAATGAGCTTATATGGTATGTAATGCACAAGACTTCACAGTTTTTCTTTGCCGGTTCCTTTCATTGTGTTGCAAAATAGTTCGTGGAAAGGTCCAGTGTTTTTGTCGTCACTCTGCGTATGATTCCCATATTTATCATCAATTTTTTTTGTCCCAGTTTGTTGGTTAGTCACCTTGTGGTACAAAGCTAGACTTTTCTACAGAAAGAGGAACAAACTGTGTTGCTTTTACATTTTATTAATGAAACCATTGGATGACATATGAAACATCTTTAGGTTATCTGTGGATGATCCTAGCACTTGGCACATATTAAGAGTGCAACAAATAGCAGTATTATTTATTCTTTGCGCAGCCAGGAAACATGTGACTCTACAGTTATGTCTGAATTCTGTGTTTATATCAAGATTGTCCTACCCTGCAATATAAAATGTATGTGATTGTAAGTCTAAAATAATTCTTATGGTGCATATCTAAAAGACATTTTGTACATTTTTCATAGGGCAAAGCCTGGAAACTGATTGTTACACCACTGTGCTTTATACACCACATACTTTCACATTGTAACTTCCTGTCTAATTGCCATGATACCATCTCAGCCTCAAGCAGAGATATTCCACCCTGAACAGTTACCATTAGACATGAGTAACTCTGTTTGACTCATATTAGTTTGGCCTGAAAAAGGAAACATATTTGACACACACGGGCACCATTGTAACTATGCAAAGAGGATTGTTATTCTCCACCAAAGTGCCACACAGAAATATCTTAAGACTTCGGTTCAGCTCCGTTAGAGCCTCCGACTCGGGGAGGTGAAAAGTGAAGGCCCTGAAATAATTACCTCCTTTCACTTGTTGACTGTGGTCTCAGCCCCCTGGCAGTATTTTGTCATGGTGATGGGATGAACTTCGGGACATTGCACAAACACGGACCCTTCTCTTTTTGTGGTTTGCCATAGGTACTCAGCGTGCCAATGCCCGGGCTCCAGCCCCTTACAAGCGAGACTTTGAAGCCAAGCTAAGGAACTTTTACAGGAAGTTAGAGACTAAAGGATACGGACAAGGCCCAGGGAAATTGAAGTAAGTCAAAATGATACAGACCTCAGGATTGGGCGATGGTGAAAGGATGAGATGCAGTTGGGAATGTAGGAAATTGATTGTGATTTGGGATCACAGCCTTTGTTTTAGTCGGTGTAATTATTTTGGCATGTGTCAGCTACAGGGTCATCTAAGACAAGGTCCTGGAATTAAGTACCATTTAGCTTAAGGTTTTAAAACAAACACCACATTCCATGTAAAAATATAGGCAAAATAAAAGGCTAATTTGTTTCTCCTGAAAAGTGCCTCTTTGTTCACTTACAGTGTATTTATTAGATAAAAGGCTGGCACAGTGTCTTCTCCTGCACATCACTGTCTCCTGACCTGACCTGAGTGTAGGAACACTGCTCAGCTCTGTTTTGTTCTGTGAAATAAGCTTCACTTGTCCAATGAAATATATCATGACTGTTGTTTCTGCCTTTCTTTACCCACCTTTAAATTTAAACATCATCATGTTGTTTGGCCTAGAATTATTTTCACTTCCTACTTACCTACCCTTCCTTCATCCCCGCCTCCACCCCTGCCCCATGTATCCACCAGAGATCACGGTGCCCCCTGAGAGAGGGCAGAGGAGGAAGGGTCTGCACTGACACACTGCCATGATGCTGGGTGTCTGAGAGGAGGTCCAGGAGCCGTCCCCCAGCTCCCCAGCTTACTGCCCCACAGAGAGGGCTGGCTCAAGTATATTCACAGGTCCCAGTTTCCTCACCCTTCAACACACATCAGCCTGACCAAATAACTTACCTCTCTGAGCTTTGCCTTTCCCACACTTCACTTAAGAAGGTCTTGAGGGGCGCCTGGGTGGCTCAGTCGGTTAAGCGTCCAACTCTTGATTTCAGCTCAGGTCTTGATCTTAGGGTCATGAGTCCAAGCCCCACACTGAGCTCCATGCTTAGCATGGAGACTACTAAAAACAAACAAACAAAAAAGAAGGTCTTGAGCTCAGGCTTCCCTGTGTCCAGACTCCCTATCATCTCCCTTTCCGTGACTATTTGAACTAAAGGCAAATTTTATCTGCTTCAGGATGACTTTCATTATCATCATCACAAGTAGATTAATTGGCCACAAGTATCATTCATTTGTATCTGTCACTTGGGGAATCTGAGATTCACTTAATTTAAAAATTAAATTAAACACAGGCATAAATATGTCTGCTTTGGAGAACATGGAGAGTTTTTTTTTTCCTCTCCTGGTTCTCACAGTCATCCCTCTGCATACTTAGTAATTGAATTCCTTGTCTAGGTGCATTCATGCTTAAAACATTACCTCATAGGGTTGTCCTTCCTTTACTAAACAAAAGTTTTGTGTTTGTATTGTTTTATAATCATCTTCCTTCTGGGATAAATTGATTTGACCATCCAGAAAGAACTCAGGAGTTGTTTTTATATGTTGTGGGCGGAGTGCTCTGCTTACCAGCAATTCACTTGTGTAATTTTTACTTCTACTGTTAAGAGTTCAAGACAAATGTGCATTATTACAGCTAGCAATGTATTAAGTGACTCCCCCTTTCTGCTAGTTAACTATGGTAAATGAAGAGAGAATCAAAAGTGCCCAGTTCTAGAAAGATAAGGGTTAGGAAATAATCTGTTTTTCACATTGTCTTTTTATGGACAGGTTAATTATCAGAAGAGATCACTTACTAGAAGATGCTTTTAATCAGATCATGGGCTACTCCAGAAAAGACTTGCAGAGAAATAAGCTGTACGTCACATTTGTCGGGGAGGAAGGGTGAGTAGAACAGAGAAGTGATGTGTGGAACACGGCTGCAGCTGCGGAGGGGACGTGTCACCACAGGGTCGCTGTGGCTGCCTGAGACAGGAAACCCTGCTGGCAGGAAATGCCATTCTCAGACACTTAAACCTCTCGGCTTTTTTTTTTTTTCTTTTTTTTTCTTTTTTAAGTCTTTCTCTGGTTTTTTAATCATTTGACAGAGAAATTCTTCGGTAAATACTCGTAACTATAGATCATTTTTGAGAGCAGAAGGTTGGTTTGGTTTCTTCTCTCTGCATCTCTTTCTTAAAGGGAAAAAGTGGGGCCTTGAGGGAAAAAAACAAGAATTGAATTCTAACGTCTGTGATCGTGTTGTCTGCACTGGGTGTAAGTAGATTGCGCTTCACCTGTTAAATAAATAAGCTCAGTTTCGGAATCACGAATTAGAATCCTGCTCTCCTACCAGGAAGCTTCTACAGCAGTAATTCCAGGACTCTTGGACCGGCACTGGATAGAGGCAAAACTGTTGAACTCTGGGTTCTTATTTCTCTGTTGCCAGTTTTTCTCTTTTTTGGGGGGGTGGGCGGGGGAAACAGCGACACACCTACCAAAATAATAACCTGCCCTAAACAAGCATCTCTGGCCTTCTATGACTCTTCCATGAGTATGCTCATAGAGATAAGGGTTAAGAAATGAAGGAGTGAAGACTCCTACACACTGTTTACTGCATCCAAATAAACATAGCAGTTCTTATATAACACTTCAGAAGGTGACAGCTCTCATCTTGTCCAGACCCCTTTCTCCTTCCTCATTTCAGGTCTGAGTTTCAAGTCTCAGCACCCTCTTCGTAACCCAGCCATCACTAGAGTGAATTTAAAAGGTACCACATGATGGCCTGAACTGTGGTTGTCTTCTTGACTCTGTTCCTTTGGATCATTTTAAAGCTACCCTTCTCAGTCCTGCCTAGGAATAAAGTATATTAGATTATAGATTCATAGGAGTAATATCCAACAAAGTCAGCCATTCAACATATGGTTACTTTGGAGGCTCCAAAGTATAAAGTAATTTGCAAGTGTGAGTGGAACTAGATAACAGTAAAGTCAGGATTCAAATCTAGGCCTTTCATCCGGGGCTCTTGGACCAGCACTGGATAGAGGCAAAACTGTTGAACTCTGGTCTGTCAGAACTTTTTCCTGCCCAAGGATCTTTTCACTATTCCAGCTGACTGATAACCCCTGCTCTTGTCACATATTCTGTTTATAGTCTCCCAGCTGTGCCTAGCTTAAAGTAAAATATTATATGGGAAAACAATACTAGGTGACAAAATCTGGGCAGAAGCTTGCCTGAGACTTGTTTTCATTACTGAAGTGCACTAATGGACCTTAAGCTTATGCTAGATGACTTAAGATGCAGGTGCACAATTGAAAATGAAGGCAAATGTTTTAAGCCTAATCATAGGTGTGCATGGAATTCCAAATACTCCCTTACATAACCAGTCTCATTTGGATGAGAATACTTTTCCTCCCCCAGAACTCCAGCTGCCTTCCTTCTTTTTTGGACCACGGTTTGTTGAGATCTCAGAGATGTAAGCAAGAGTCTTTGGAAGCCCTGGTACTTAAGTTTGAATAGAGCAGATGCTTATCATGCTTGATCATCCTAAAGTAGTTGCCCTGTGATCTGGACTGATGGCATCTCTTCCTAGGCTGAGTGTGGCTTGATACCTCTATCTGATTGCCACCAATGTCCACGTGTTTCCTGTTTCCATCACCTGTCTCCTCGCCATAACCCCAGAGGGAAAACAAAAGGGGGACACTTTGAATTGTGACCTCAGCCATCAGGAACAACCATAATCAAGCCCCTCTGTGTAAGGCCCTTTGAAGCTGGAGTAGTAAGGCCAAGTAGTTTCTGGTCTTATGGCTTTATCATGTCAATATCATACATAGAGATTATTAGCTATAGACTTCATTTTGCTACTAAGGCATTGAGAATACATAATGCTGTTTTGAAAGAATACAGCACTCTTGCTGAAAAATAGAAACCTCAAAACAACATAAAATTAAGAAGTTATTTTAGACTTTGTCACTTTCTCAAAGACATTGATTCGATCGCATTAAAATTAGATCATGCCATTTCTTTCTGGATTGTAATAAATATCCAAAGTGAAAATCTACCTACATTTTTCTATGGAACTATAAATGTGGAGCTGGGAATTTTCTGTCACTTTCCCTTCATTAATTTTAACGCTCACAAAATGTATCCGTTTGTAAGTTCTTCATGTCTAGCCCTAGTAATGGGTATTTAAAAACATATACACCCAGTGGCTAGATCTTGGTTTCTAATATCATTCTTCAATAAAAGGAACTAGGACTCCTGGGGGAAATGGCTGATTCTAGGATGGTGCAGGAAATATACAAGATGGAGCTTGAAATATCTTGTAGTGTCAGAAAGTAGAGAAGTGCTCAAAATTTCCACAATGATGGGGCTATGTCAGAGGAATTCAAGAGCCAACTGAAAGATCTCCCAACTGGAATTATCTGAGCACCAAAATAATTGAAGTAGGATTAGAGTATAATAACCCAAAGTATAAAATAAACATCTGTACTAATATAAATATGTGATTAAATAAATAAAGAGTTGACCAGTCTCTTGTACAGAAGATTTCCAAATAATTCAGCATAAATCCTCACTCCTTAACTGTGGATTGTACATAATGACTTTCTTCCAATAGCACAGTTTGGGAAGGGGAAAAAGAAGTAAGTCCAGAATGGAGATGCCTGACAAACACTCAGCCAGGTGATCAAGGTTAAAATCAACAGTGATATATCATGCTAATAGTATGGGACCTTCATATGATGTGACGAAACTGGCACTTGATCTCTGCAGTTTTTGTCCCCCAAACCCGTAATATCAGTCTATTCATGAGAAGACCATCAGGTAAATCCAAATGGAGGGATGTCCTATAAGATAACTTACGGGTACAACTTCAAACTGTCAGGGTTGTCAAAAACAAGGAAAGTCTGAGAAACTGGCACAGCCAGGAGAAGCCTAAGGAAACAGAACAATTAAATGTAAATATGGTATTTTGGATGAGATCCTGGTATAGAAAAGGGACATTAGGTAAAAACTAAGGAAATCTGAATAAAGTATGCATTTTAGTTAATAATAATACCTCAGTATCTGTTACTTAACTATAACTAATATACTATACTAATGTAAGATGTTAGTAAGTGGGAAACTGGGTATGAGGTATACAAGAATTCTCCAGATTATCTTTGCAACTTTTCTGTAAATAAAAAACTATTCTAAAATGAAACATTTACTAAAAGAAAGGATATAGTTAGGATTTCGGGAGATTTAGGAAATGTTTCCCCAAACTTTTCTTATTTCCTTATTGTCTGATGAGTGGGTGCCACCAGGGTAATTTTGGGTATGTGTATGCTTCCTTCTGCACTTGAGGTCAGTAGAGTTATATGTATAGAGAAACAGTTAATTTTGTGTGAAGTCCAAATTATTAGGGGTAGTGAACTATTATTAGGAGTAGTATTTTGTGTTGCTAATGTCAAGTTTATTTTCTCTATGAGGGAGTACTTTGCAATTCTTATTGATACTATCTCAATGATTATATTTCCTACCCGTCATAATCAGGGTCTTTATTTACAATAGAGAAGTTAGGGCATAAAGAGGAAGGGATTTATTTTTAAGAAAATTGCGTCTGCCTGCACTCCAAGAAAGTATGAATTAACAGATTCACAGAGAGACTTCAGCTCTGCTTTAGGTTGTCTTGTTGCATAGGTCTGAAACACACATATAGATTGTTCTGAAATGGAAGAGCAGAATCAAGAGAAATTATGGGAAAATTTATAGTCAGAATTTGCAGGATGACTACAAATTCCATGTGAGGTAAAATTAATCTCAGAGTATCGGTGATATATTCACTTTTTAAAATATAGAGTTGTAGAGCCTGTTAGTGGAAGTGTATTAGTTGACAAGTAATTATTATTTTTCAAGTAATTATTATTTTTCCAAGCTTCATGTTATGCTTTGACAGTTTCTAAGCAAACTACGGTGATTTAATTTGATCAGAACTGGAGGTTTTGTTCTAGTCATTATGTTTTCCACCCAAGTTAATTTGGTTATCTGCCCTTGCAAAGTAGGGAGGGTGGCAGGTCAGCAGGGGCAGAATGGCTGGAAACTGAGTCATCTTGACAAAATGTGGTAGGAAATTGCCTGCTGTGGTTGCCTCTCTCTGTTGGGCTTCTGTCTGCCTGGAAATTGCTTCTTTAGGAAGGAGGCCAGTAGAGCACTGCATATTCTCTGGCATATTACTTTCTTCTGAATTAAAAGCCCTAGCAACTAAGGCTTATGTGTTATCAAAAGTTAGGTAGGTAGACTATCGGGTTCCGATAAGGTGTCCTGGGCCATTAACTTTCTCAGTACCCCAAACAGTAAGGAAATAATAGCCTGGTTAAAGAAAGGATGTTTACACTGTGATTGCCTTGCCTCTTTTTTCCCTCCATGGCCAAATCTGTAAAAGGGACCTTTCTTCAAGAAAGAATGAGTTCATTATATGTAAGGTGCCATCTGTTGGCATCAATCATCTGTCTTGCAAAACCACACTTAGACTAGGGAGGGGATGTGTGCAAGCAGTTTTAGTTCAGGGGTTTAAGAACAGATGAGCTCCTTCTGTGATATTTCTCTGAGACAGGCAACTGAAAGTAACTAAGAGGATGAGATCTGAAACGGTTTGCCTCCATCTCTGCTTATAAAATAACCAGCATCTCTTACATATGACTGGTCTAACCCTTGCTAGAAGTTGTTTAGGGTCCTGAGCTTGACCATTTATTCCTCAGAAGTCTATAAAGCTTCAAGTGAAACTCTCTGGTGCTGCTTGTTTTCTTCCAAAAAGAGACATTTGCAGGATAACCTCAACAACCTAAACCTTGCTGACGGGTGCTTCTGTATCTAGACTTGGGCTTGACATCACCAGGTAAAACTTTGTTTGTCATATTAATGGCTTG